GTGAGTTTGATTGCTACACTTCTCTCTGGCCTGAGCTTGAAGCTCACATCTCTCCTGTCCGTCCCCTTCCTGATGATCAGTGGCGTCTTTGCTTTGAGGACTTTGAGAAATTGGCAAGGGGGCGTCGCGACTCGATGCCAGGGCCAGATGGGATTGTCTACTCTTGCTGGAAGCCCCCTTATCCCGATTGCGATCATGCATGGTCTCTACTGCCACCTGTTTGACCATCGTGCTTGTGACATGTCTCCTTCCATGCGGGAAATGATTCTTGTCTTCTTAGCCAAGGGTGAGAATCCGACGGATCTTACTGCTTGCCCCGCTCGGTCTCCCGATGCATGTCGTCCTCTTGCTATGGCCAGCACTGGCTGCAAGCTAATGTCGGTGGCGTTCTCCTCCCAACTGGAGAAAGAAGCGCGCGAGAGCGTGCATCAGGTTCAGGCCTGCATTCGAGGGAGGTCTATGACAGACCAGATTCTTGAGGCTGGGTGGCGGGGAGTTCAGCAGTGCATGGTGGGGAGGGACCTGTCTTGCATGTTCTTGACTGGCTTTGCCGCTGCGTTTCCGAGCATTGCGATTTCCTGGCTTCTTCGGGTGCTGGCCCCGATGGAAGTTCCTCCTGGAGTGGTTGGTTTTTGAGGCGCTGTACTCTGATAACCTGGGGACCGCCTGCTCTGGAGGGAAGCGTCATAGAGCGATGCGTCTGCTACGGGGCGTTCGCCAAGGGGACCCGTCCAGTGTGCTGCTCTTCGCTCTCGCTCTCGACCCGTGCATTCGTTGGCTCTGTTGTCGTCTCCCTCGGCAAATCTTGGCATATGCTGATGATTTGTGGTTTGGGCTTCGTGATGTGAACGTGGATCTACCGATTCTTCTCCCGCTGCTTCAGCGTCTGCATCCTGGGATTGGGCTTGCCCTGAACACGAAGAAGTGTGTCCTGATCCACTGTGGCCTGTGTCTCTCTCCGCGGTCGTCCCGGCTGATTCGCAGGCTACTTGCTAGACTTGGGAATGGGGCCGATGCTATTGGTTTGGTTCGGCATGCTCGGTATCTGGGGATTCAGATTGGCCCAGAGGGCTGGAAGCACGCTTGGGGCACTGCGTTGCAGAAGTTTCATTGGCGTTGTATTGAGATTCGGAGACTTCGGATTGGGCTCGCTATGGCCATTAGGACGCACGTGATATTCGCCGTCTCGGTTCTCAGGTTTGTGATGCAGTTCTATCCTCCGCCGTCGGCTGTCTTGAAATGTGAAGGGAACATGCAACATAAGCTCATGGCGGGTCCTCGGTTTGCCTTCAATAGACTGATGTGTACCAGGATGTGTGACCTCGGCTTATCGTTGGAATTCCCTGATCTGGCCCAGATCGGCATTGCTACTCAAGTTCGTCTTGCCCACAACAGTGCTGCATTCCCGCGGGTCCGTGGTCAGATTCTTGGTCTTTCCCAGCAAGACGAATTTCACCCTGCTCGGATGCGGCGCCCGTGGTGGCAGCACACGTTCTGTCGGTCCCTCATTGACACGTGGAATGGGCACACCCATCTGTGCGCTGGCTTTCTTCAGGCCTCGGGGTTTCAAAAGAAGCTCACGCGAATCCTTCGTGTCCGTGCTCCTCCAATCTCTCCTATCCGATGCCTTCGCGCCCGGGTGATCCGATGGGTCCCCGGGGTCTCGGTCGCCCAGGTCTCTGCCTCCGTTCAGGTTGCCCGCGAGGTTTGCAAGGGAAGTTCTCTCTGCCTGGGACTCGCGGTCTCACGTGTCCTGGCGAGGGGTGTCTGTACCAGTGCCAGATTTCATCGTGGGCCTGTCGGAGGCTGCTGGAACTGTGGTGCCCCTGGGGCCAACGACTCTACGGGGCACCATGCCTCCATCCTTTCTTTAGCGAAGAGTCCTGGTTCCGATGTTTAACTTTAATTGGCCCTCCACCGTTTTTTGAGCAGCGATCAATCTGCGCGGGTCTCTGGGATGGATTCCTCTTTGTCCAAGCCAGCTTCCGTGGGGGGTCCAGGCTGTCGCCGAGGGATCTCCTCAGAGGCCGCATCCGCTTGCACACTCTGCGGCACCCCAAGGTTGCCCGTGCCTGGTCTGCGTCTTCCTCGTAGCTGTCTCATAGAACTTCTGCCCCCATGGGGCCAGCGGCTCACTGTCCCTCTCGGGGCCCGCGGAGTTCTATGCTGTACAAGTACCATTATGTCGTCTTGTTGCTCTTTTCTCCCCGTGCCCCGCTGGGGGCAGCGGACTCGGCCTCGCTCTCTGCCGAAGCCCGTGTTGGGGTTCCCCGAAAGCTACTCTCTTTGCTCCTCTCGGGGTCCTTTGCGCGGCCCGCATTTCCCCGAACAGTGCTTCTCACGGCGCCCACTGGCTGTTGCAAGTGGCCAGCCTTGCTTCAGCTGTATTGGCCGCCGATAACTCTTCTTTAATATTGTTGCCGCCAGGTTACCGATGAAGTACCGCAAGGCCCCGCCTGCTCTCTGGAGAGAGGTTTTGTGAGGGCAGGGTCTGTTTTCCTCGATCGTCGCCTGGCCACGGGCTTAGCTTCTGATCGACCCCCCCCCCCTCTCTCAGGGCATGCACTCGGTGGGATTTTAACATTTGTGTTGCAGCAATGTTTTAGTTCTCGGTGTATTTCTCATCTTGTGTCGGACTGACGTTGTGCCACCTGTAAGGCGCCCAACCTCCGAGTTGGTTTGGCATCGTTTGCGCCCGATGCCAGGACTAGACTCACTGCATCGATTGTCATTTCTCATTGTCGTCGGTCCCTGGGGGAAAGGAAAATCATCATCATCATCATCAACATCACCCTCGGTTATTATCATCATCACCATCATCATCCTCAGCATCATCATCAGCAGCGTCATCCTGGTTACCAGCATCATTATCACCACCGCCATCAATCATCATCGTTCGCATAATCGTCATACTCATCAGCATCGTCATTATCAGCGTCTTAATCAGCATCATTTTCACCATACTCATCATCGTTATCGTCATCATCATCATCAACCTCATCATCAACATCACCATCACCATCTGAATTGCCACCCGTCTTTGAAACACGTTTTGACTGTACTGGGGCCTGCGGTGAGGAATGTGCCCAGAGGCTTCGGACCCTGGAGGGTTCCTCATCTGATGAGGGCAGCGGTAATGATCATGGCCAAGCCACAGGTATCCTTACTCGATGGCTCCTCATCCAATGCCTTCGCCGTGCGAAGACCGACAGCTGTTTGGATGATGGACAGAATTCTACATCACCCGCGCCAGGGGGGGGCCGGTGCAAACTTCAACGCCCCCCCCCCTGCCCCCGATCAAATTTGGGTTGGCGTCGCCAGCGGGGCGCAGGAGTTCGGCCAGTCGGTAGATCGACACAGCGCGGCGCAGCCCGCCCATTTGCAGTTGGGTGCGCGGGGGGGGTCCACAAAAATCCAGGATTTGCTGCCGGTGCCGCCGCGGACACTGTCCAGTTGAGGCAAGGCGGCGCCTGCCCAGCAGAGTCCGCCGTTCGTCTTGCACACCACCTGCTGTCGGGCACCGTGCGCATTTGTGTGCGTGGTTGCGTACTCCGAGCGTCCCAACTTGTGCTTCCCCTCCACCCTCCTCTGCATCCTTCTCGTTTGTCCCCGCCCACCTCCCAGTTCGTGCCACCCCTGGTCCTGCGGGCTGATGGCTCGCCTCTCTCTCTCTCTCTGACGGGCAAGCCACTCGATTCGCGATACTAATGTGCCAAGCGTGCACCATGAGGAGGAGGAGGAGGAGGAGGAGGAGGAAGAGGAGGAGGAGGACGAGGGGGAGAAGGAGAAGTAAGAGGAGGAGCAGAAGGAGGAGTAGGAGGAGGAGAAGGAGGAGTAGGAGGAGGAGGAGAAGGAGGAGTAGGATGAGGAGGAGACTGGAGGAAAGGTGCTCAGCAGCAGGAGGAGGAGGATCAGCAGCACGAGTGAGGAGGACGAGGAAGTGGCGAAGGAGGACGAGGACGAGGACGAGGAGGAGGAGGAGGAGGGGAAACGGGGCGAACGGAGGGAAGCGGGAGTAGGGGGAGGGACGAGGAGGAGGTGGACGTAGACGACAAGGACGAGGACGAGAACAAGAAGGAGGGGGTGGAGGAGGATAACCGAGGAGGGTCTCGGTTGCCCACGTTAGGGGGCTTCGGTCTCTTCCCCCTGGACCCCTTCCGTCGCCTCGCCGTGCTGGACGCGTCTCGAAAGACCTGTGGGATCGCTGTCGCCTCTTGCCACGAGGGCGCCCTCGAGGGCGCGAAGTTGTTCGCGCTTCGCGTTTCGGCTCCGATTCCTCCTCATCCTCCTCTTCTCCCCTGGGAGGCGGCGCGAGAGCGCGAAGTTGTTCGCACTTCGCGCTTCGCGCAGCGCGAAGCGCGAAGTTGGGAGCCCCTGTGACCACCTGGGCGACGCCACAAAAAAGGGTGCCGCCTTCGCCGACATTGGCGCGTGGGCTGCCCGCGCAAAAGGCCGCGCGCCGGCGCCCTCGCCTCCATCGTGGCTTGCCGGGCCACGCGGAGACACCGCGTGAGGTCACGGGTGCCACCTCGCGCGAGACCCGCTGTTGATCCTCGCCCGCCTGTGCAGCGAGGATCCGAGTCGGACGCCCGGCGGCTCCCAAATCTCTCGAGGCTGGGCGCCCTGGAGAGGTCCGGGCCACTCCTCCAGGGCCGGTGTTGCTCGTCCCGAGTCGGTTTCTGGACGGCCCTCGAGGCTCGGCGCGGGCCCCCCGAGGCGGAGCACGGCCAGAAACCGAGGGTCGAGGATCGAGGTCGAGGGCCGAGGGCCGAGGGTCGAGGGCCGAGGGCCAAGGGCCGAGGGTCGAGGGCCGAGGGTCGAGGATCGAGGGCCGAGGGCCGAGGGCCGAGGGCCGAGGGCCGAGGGCCGAGGGCCGAGGGCCGAGGGCCGAGGGCCGAGGGCCGAGGGCCGAGGATCAAGTGGCTCGTCCCTGATCGGGGTCGGGGATCGAGGTTCGAGGTCGAGGGGGGAGGGGGGAGGAGGAACAGCAAGCCCGCGAGGTGCTCAGCGCGCGGAGCCCCTTCTTCCTGTCGATGTTGTCCACCAGCATGCGGGAGCCCAGGGGCCGCAGACGCCGCCTCCGCTCCAACTCCACTTTTCGTGTTCGATCGCGGGCCCCGTGTGAAACGCAACCGTCCAAGCTTTGCGCCGAAGCTCGCCAGAAGTCAACGAAGGCCGAGGGGCAACAAGGGGTGCAGGGTCGAATACGTAGCCCCCCCACATCCCGCTCCTGCTGCCACTGCTCCCCCCACCTCCCGCTCCTGCTGCCGTAGCCCCTGCCCCTCGAGGGATTCCCTGGCCACCCTCTCGCCCCCCCCGCCTCCTCCTCCTCCTCCTCCTCCTCCTCCTCTCCTCCTCTTCTTCCTCCTCCTCCTCCTCCTCCTCCTCCTCCTCCTTCTCCTCCTCCTCCTCCTCCTCCTCCTCGTGCTCCTCCTCCTCTTCCTCCTCCTCCTCCTCCTCCGCCTCTTCCTCCTCCTCCCTCCCTCCTCCGTATTCTTCTCCGCCTTCTCCTCCTCGTGCTCCTCCTCCTCCTCCTCCTCCTCCTCGTGCTCCTCCTCCTCGTGCTCCTCCTCCTCCTCGTCCTCGCACGCACCCATCTTTGATGTGCGTGGCCACCGGGGCAGGCGACGGGGTGTGTCCATCAGGAGAAGTTGTGTGTGGGCACCCCGGTGGGAGGCCGAAGACCACCGGGCTGCCCGCGACAGGACAGCACCCCGAGAGGAGAGCGACAGAGGGAGGAGGGAAGGAGGAGGGGGGCGGTGCGAAGGGAGGAACCGGAAGGCGGAGGAGACAGAGGCGCGGCAGCGGAGTGTGAGCCACCAAGCTTCGTCTTTAGGCGCGCGCGCGCCCCTGCTGGGGGCAACGAGCGGGGGAAGGAGGGAGGGAGGAGGAGGAAGGGAGGAGGGCGCAGAGAGACGGCGAGAATACCCACGGCTGCCTTCAAGTAACTCAGCCGCTGTATAGTCGAGGTAGTTGTGTCGCACATTCGGGCCCTGGCCTGCATTCCCCCTTCTCGTCCTTATCTCCTCCTCGTTCACGTCCTCCTCCTCACCATCTCCACCTCCCTCGTTTCTCTTCCTGTACACCTCCCCCTCCCAGTCTCTCCTCCCCCTCCATCTCGCCCCTTCCCTCCTCCCCCCAAACCTCCCCCTATCATTTCTAGTCCTGTCCCCCGTCCACATCCCCACCTCTCCTCCACCTCACATCCCCCCCTCCCCCCCCTCCCCCTCCCCCTACCCCTCCCCCCCCCTCGTCCCCCTCCCCACTCCCCCACAACACCAGGCGCGGGCGCGCGCGCGTGTTGGGACAGAGCAGAGGGAGGGTGGGAGGGAGGGAGGGAGCAAGGGAGGAGGAGGAGGATGGGGAGGAGGAGGAGGAGGAGGAGGGAGGGAGCAGGGAGGGAGGGAGCAGGCTAGACGCGCTCGCGCCACCTGACATCCTGCCCCTCTCGCCCATCTCCCCATTGCGCTGCTCCCTCTCGATCCGCGGACGCGCGTCGCAGTGGACCTGGAGCTCAAAACTGAAAGCGTAGTTTTTCTGTTGTGCGCAATCGGAGAAGGGGAGCTGCGTACATAGCAAGACGAAGAGAAGGAGGAGAAGGAGGAGGAGGAGGAGGAGGATGAGCAGGAAGATGAGCAGGAGGATGAGCAGGAGGAGAATCAGGAGGAGGAGAATCAGGAGGAGGAGGAGGAGGAGGAGGAGGAGGAGGAGGAGAAGGGCGAGGATGAATAGCAGCAGCATGAGTTGGAGTGGAAGGAGCAGGAGGACGGAGGACCAGGGGAAGGCGGAGGAGGGAAAAGGAGGGGGACGACAGCGATGAGGAGGGGCCCTGATCCAGAAAAGGGGGTCCAGGGCTTGAGCGAGAGCGCCATTCAGACCGACAGGAGCAACGCCCCATCCGAGACTGAGGCGAACCATCGGTCGTTGAAAGTAACTGGTTTTGGATTCGCAGATTTTGATAACCCAGCGCGGGCGATAATACCCCCCCTGGGATAATAAAGTTCGGGGTTCTGGCGGGGATAATAAAGGATTTTCCCTGGGGAAGGTAATTCGCTTAACTCCAATGCTCCGGCTGCTCGAAAAAACGCACGCACGATCAACATCCAATCGGTCCCTGTGGCCCTGCCACACGTTCCTGACTCGGGGACGGCTGAGAAATGAGAATCCCATGGCCCTGCCGCACGTTCGCCACGTGGGCCAAAACTGAACTGGTGAGAACCCCACAGCCCTGCCACACGCTCGTGATTGCGGAAGCTGGCGTGGTGGGACCACCATGGCCATGCTCCGCGTTTTTGATGCTGCTGCTAGTCAACATGATGTGATAGCAACTTCGATCCCGGCAACTTTCCCGTGGATTATAAAGTTCGGCCTCCACGCCCTTCTCCACACCTAAATCCCATTGGACGGGGATAAAAAATAGAGGGGGGAGGGGGGGGTACCTTATTATCGCCCGCACTCGGCTATACTTTGAGCGCCTTCCTACTTCAATGATCGAGCGGCTTCACCTTTTCCGCCCTCCTCAGGGGGCGGGCCGGACACCCAATCCGCTTCCAACGCCTTCCTGCCTCACGTCTCTGCCTACCTCTGCCGACCGATGGGTATAACCGGAAGGGCCGAGGACGAGCCGATTGCAAGAGCGCGTGAAGAGGAAAAGCCCACTCGGACCCCGTGCCGCGTGTAAAGAAGAGTGGACGGGGCGGGGCGCCCGACTCTCTCGCGCCGTCATGCGGGGGGGGGAGGGGAGAGTCGTGTTCGTGCCGTGCTCCCCCGTCAACACCCAACTCGCAGGCGATCGCAAGCATGGCTCAAGGGGGCGTGGATCAGCGACGGGTGCCGCTTCCATGGGGAATCGCGGATCTTCGCCGCCGAGGCGGGGGCGGCTTTGGCCGCATTCTGGGGGGGACGCCTCCCCCGATCCATGGATGTGGCGACCGCGCAACAAATCCATGGATCGCTCATCCGTGCTTGCGCGCCCCCGAAAATGCGGTATTGAGGAGTGCGTGCGGCTCTCTGGCCGCCCTCGGGGGGGAGAGGGGAGGGTCGTGTTCATGCTGTTCCCCCCGTGTAGCACCCCAGTGCGGTGATGGTGGAAGCTGCCAGCTCCCCCTGAGGGAGAGGGGGCTCCACCGTGCTTACCAGCCTGGAACATATCCCTATCCCTATGCTGTGCACCTCCTCATCACGATGCCAATCTTATGGATCCCCTTATTTTTTGAGGGCGAATCCCTAAGATTTTCATCGCCTTTTGGCGTGTCAATCTTAGGAATAGTGATACGTTCGAGGCTGGTAACGTGCAGAGCAACAGCCACACAGGACAGAGGAAGAGGAAGCGAAGAGGAGCCGAGGAAGGAGAGAGCGGGCCGCGTGGCCGCAACAGCTGGCCGTCACACGCTCGCGTCGGCTGCTCAAGACCTCGGTCCACGCTAGAAGTAACAGACCGGCCACATGGGGGGGGGAGATGGGCGAGGCGACGGAAAGTCGGGGGCGGCCAAGAGGGGGGTGATGACTAGGGGGGGTGGGTATCATGGCGTGGGCCGTGGTATGTCCTCAGATTTCATGGCGCCTCTTCTTAGTTCATTGCGTCCCTGGCCTCCCCCCCGGGCCGCGCAGATGCTGCCGGCCATGATTTGCCACCCCGCTCTTGGACGCCCCCCTCTTGGCCGCCCCCGAGAAAGGGGGGGGGGGGACATTGTGAGCGCAATACCCATGGTTCAAACTTCCATTCATATAAGTAGGCCCTGCGACAAGAAAGTCTTCAGCTGGAGGCAGGTCAGAAGTTAAATTGACCAGAGCAGATAAGCACACATGAACAAGGAGTATGATTCATACTATGTACTTCTAAACGCTGTCGGACAATTCCGGGTAATTAGGCCTGGCGGCTGTCTGACTCGCATCGTGCCCACTGCCGAGGCTATATACGTTGAATGGGTCGCCAACGAGGGTGAACTTGCATTGCCGCTGGCCCGATACCATCAGCGGAACAAAAACCATGTCGTGTAACCCAGACCCCCGACGTCGTGATTTTTTCACAACGTCGACCCCCAGAGGTCTCGACCCCTTCCTGGGACTGGTTTTTCATTCTGGGTCGTTTTTTGATGGGCCCCGAGGCCCGGTAAGGGCCCCTGGAGGCCGAAAGTAGCGAAAAACCTCCCGGCGTGATTTTTGTCACAACGCGAGGGGGTCCCGGAATTGTGAATGCCGGAGGCGAAGGGAGGAGGCGCAGGAGGAGGAGGAGGGAGGTCGCCGTCGCCGTCGTTCGCTCGCCGCCTCTCGGTATAAGGCCCCCGCCCGCGCGCGCACAGGAGCAGGCCACGGGCGAGGTGCACCTGCCGGACGTGGAGCCCCGGCGCCTGGAGGCGGCAGCTTTTCTCCGGGCGGTGCGGCGTCCAACCTCGGCGAGGGCATCGAGGCTCGAGGAGAAGTGTCGATGCCCCTCGATCCTCAGAGGAGGGAGAAGTGTCCCAGGCCGCGACCCTCCGGCCGTGGTCCCCCCTCTCGGGGCACCCTCGGAGGCCCTCGCCGCCACCGCTGGACTCGCGTCAAATTCTGGTCCGAACGCACCCGGGGAGAGGTGCAGAGAGCTGTGGTATCGGTGCCTCTTGGTTTCCCCGGATCCCGGATCGAGGCTCGAGCCGGTTGGCCTTCGATCCCCGGTCCTCCTCGAGGCCTCGATCTTCCTCGAGGCCTCGCTGCTCTTCGAGCTTGGATCCAGGGTCGAGGCTCGGGGAGGTCTGCGGCGTTCGGTGCTCGCTGCCGGAGGAGAGAACACGGCATACGGTTGGCCCAGATTCGTAGGTCGACCGTGCCACACCAAGGGGAGCCCTCGTGTCCCGTGTCTCGCGACCCGTGCCTCCTGCGTTCCTGTGGCAACGTGGCCCTCGGAAGGGTCTTGTTCAGGGAGGGAAAAGACACACAGACACAATTAATCGTCGATTCCCAGGAAAATATTGGAAAATATGGGAAGTGGGGGGGAGGACAGAAACCCAGAAAATATAGGAAAATATGGGGGATCCTTTTATTTGTGTGTATTTATTTGTGTGTCCCAGGGCCCCTTCACTTGTGTCCTCTCGCGTGTACTCTCCAACCAAGTCCGGCTGTACACGTCAGCTGTGGGAGGTCCGCGCGGATCTCTCGGAGCGGCGCCGGGACCCTCCGACGGCGCTTCCGCTCATGGCGGCGCCTCCGCGCGCCGGGCGCTGGTCCAACAGATTCTCGCGGACCTCCTCGAGGCTGGAGGAGGACCAATGTTCGAGGAGGCAAGCAAGGTCGCCGTCGTCGCCGTCGTCGTCGTCGTCCAGGGGGGCGGCCCCCGCCACGGTCGTCGGGCAATGTCTACCTTGGCTTCGAGAGGGGCCCTGGTGTTCCCGCTGGTTTCGTGGTGCACTTCTCTGGAGACTACGCGGCCCCACAGGAGTGCCGTTCCTTATCCAAGGCTCCTCATGACAGATTTTGGCCGCACTCCTTCCCTCCTCCTCCTCCTCCTCCTCCTCCTCCTCCTCCTCCTCCTCCTCCTCCTCCCCTTTCTCCTCCTCCTCCTCCTCCTCCTCCTCCTCCTCCTCCTCCTCCTCCCTCTCCTCCTCCTCCTCCTTCCTCCTCCTTCTCCCCTTTCTCCTCCACCTCGTCCTGCCCCTCGTCCTCCTCCTCCTCCTCCTCCTCCTCCTCCTCCTTCCTCCTCCTCCTCCTCCCTCCTCCCTCCTCCTCCTCCTCCTCCTCCTCCTCCTCCTCCTCCTCCTTTCTCCTCCACCTCGTCCTGCCCCTCGTCCTCCTCCTCCTCCTCCTCTTTCCCCTCCTCCTCCTCCTCCTCCTCTTTCTCCTCCTCCGCCTCCTCCTGCTCGTCCTCCTTCGCCTCCTCCCCTTTCTCTCCCCTTCTCCCTTTCTCTTTCTCTCCTCCTCCTCCTCCCTCCTCCTCCTCCTCCTCCTCCCCTTTCTCCTCCTCCCCCTCCTTCTCCCCTTTCTCCTCCCCCCTCCTCCTCCTCCTCGTGCTGCCCCTTGTCCTCCTCCTCCTCCTCCTCCTCCTCCTCCTCCTCCTCCTCCTCCTCTTCCTCCTCCTCCTCCTCCTCCTCCCCTTCCTCGTTCCCCATCGTTCGCGTCTCTTCGGTCATACCCAGCTCAGGGGTCTGAGCAACCCGTGCGCTCTCTCTGCCTGTCCCCGAGGCTCGGAGAGAGCAGCCTGGCCGCATCTCCCGAAATCGATTCCAGAAGTGCTGAGCTCAGTCTTATGTCACCGAAGAAAAGAACTCGGGGGTGGACAGACCTCCTACCCTGACACGTCGATAAAGGAATTGGCCGTTTTCGGTTCGCGCGAGGGCGTCGCGGCCGTCATTTCTGCGGGTCCAGATCCGTCGGTTTCGGTCCCAGGTCGTTTTCACTAAGGGGAGGTCTACTAAAGGGAGGTTTGTCCACCGCCGAAGAACGCCATAAACACACACTTTTGGCGCTCTAAGCGAATTTCTCGGATCTGTGCTGGAGCGCCCTGGCGGCGCCTCCGGTGTTGCCCCGCCCCTGGCGCGCTCCGCGCGCCAGGGAGGGGGGCCCAGCGCAGGTCCAAAAAGACCGCGCGGACCGTCGGCAGTTCATGTTTAGGGTTGTTGCTCCTCCTCCTCCTCCTCCTCCTCCTCCTCCTCCTCCTCCTCCTCCTCCTCCTCCTCCTCCTCCCTCCTCCTCCTCCTCCTCCTCCTCCTCCTCCTCCTCCTCCTCCTCCTCCTCCTCCTCCTCCTCCTCCTCCTCCTCCTCCTCCTCCTCCTTACTGAGCGACCCCCCTCCAGCGCTGATGAGTGGCCCGAGAGCGCCCCGCTGCAGCGGAGGCGCTGCTGCGCCTGCCGCCCTCTCGCCGGCGGCTGGGCCTTGGCGTCTTTTTGCCAGCGCCGCCACGGTGCGTTTCCAGCTGGCGGGCGTCCCGCCGCGATCCGGCCGAGCAGGGGAACCGTTTTCTGACCACGCACCTGGCTTGTTTGTATTCATCACAAGTTGGCACTCGCCGGCTGCGTCACTGCACGACGGCGCGCGTCCTGGATATCCTTCCTCGTGCCTCCTGCTCCCCCCCTGGCGGGCACTGTGGCAGCGGCCTGTTCCGGCGACCCCCCGCCTTGAGGAGTGGTGGTCGAGCTGGACTCCTTGCCCCCGTTCCCGGATAGGACGCCGTGGACGGCCGACCTGGTCCAGGCGATCCTCCGGGCGATGGCGAAGAACAAGGCGCCCGGCCTGGACGGATGGGCAGTCGCGGAGCTTCGCCTCCTGCCCCGCGAGTTGCTCGAATGGGTCGCGGAGCTTTCCGAATCCGTCGAGCAGACGGGCCGTTGGCTGGAGGAATTGCACGGCCCCGAGGGTCTGCTCCTTCCCAAGCCCGGTGACGGCGGGCCAATGGACCGCAGGCCGATCTGGCTGCTCCCCATGTCGTACCGCGTCTGGGCCGCGGGCAGGGCGCAGCTGTTCGCGCGATGGCGCGCGGGGTGGGGCGACGCTGACGGCAGCATCGGATCCGAGGAGCTCGCGTGGGACCTCGCCCTCGAGCTCGAGGCTGCGGAGGCTGCTGGAGAGGCCATCTGCGGCGGCGCCCTGGATTGGCGGAAGGCGTTCGACCACGTCAGCCTTCAGCTCCTGGAGCGGGTGCTGACGCGAGCTGGCGTGCCTGTGTGGTTACGCGGCCCGCTCCTCGCCACCTACGCGGCCCCCCGCCGCTTGCGAGTCGACGGCGCTCTCGGTGGCCCGCGGGAGCCAACCAGCGGAATTCTCCCTGGCTGCGCTCTGGCAGTCTTCGTGGTGAGCGTCCTGGTCCGGCCGTGGTACCAGCGCACTGGTCGAGTGGACGACGATCTGAGGCGCCGCGTGTACGTCGACGACCTCACGCTGTGGGCGCGCGGGGACCCAGATGCCACTGCCGAGGCTGTCGCCGAGGCCATGCGCATCACCCGGGCGTACGAGGCGGACATAGACTGGCGGCTGCACGAGGTCAAGAGCAAGCAGTTCGCTAAGCTGGCCTCGGTGCGACGGTGTCTCCAGCACGAGATGCCATCGATCGCCAATGGGACAGGGATCCGCGACCTCGGGGTGATCGCGGTCGCCGGCCGCCGGCGCAAGCACCCGGTGTCCGCCGCGCGGGTGAAGCTGGCTTGCGGCCGGTTTGCCCGCCTCCGCCGCCTGCTTGTGCCTTTCTGGTGGCGGTGTCTGATGGGGGCGGCTGCTGGCACTGCGCGGGTACCTACGGGTCGTCCTGTGGTCGCCCCGCCGCGGGCGAGCTCGAGCAGCTCCGCCGCGCCGCCAAGGCTGCCACCGGCCACGGGCCCCGAGCGGCGGCTGAGATCATGTTCGGCGTCGTCAGCCCTTCGTGGCGCCTGGACCCGAAGGCGGTGGTGTGCGTCGCGCCGGTGCTGCAGGCTGCGCGGGCTCTCCGGGCAGGCCAGCTCGACCTCGCCTCGTGGCGCCACACGGCCGCCGCGGTCAACGCTGGAGCTGCTCGCGCCGTTGGCCCTGTGGCGGCCGCGATGCGCAGCTTGCGCGAGCCCGGGCTGGGCGATGACCTGGAGCGCTGGGTCGGCGTGCCAGCGGCGCCGCACGGCTGGCGCCCAGCGGAGCATTCGAGGCGATGCACTGAACGCGTGCTCATGGCAGCGTGGAGCCGGGCCGAGTGTCGTAAGGTCGCTTCGCGACGTCCGTGCTTCGCCCACCTGGCCGGCGGGGTGGACAGGTGGGCCACCCGCCGCCTGCTCGCCGCCGACGAGCTCACGCCCGAGGCCGCTGGGGCGCTGCGCGGCGTCTTGTGCGGCAGCGTCGTGACCCAGGCCATCGCGGCGAAGTGGAGGGGCGACGCGGGCTTGTGCCCGCACTGCGGGCTGGCCACCGAGGACCACGAGCACCGGTTCTGGCTATGCCCGGCGTTGGAGGGCCCGCGCCGCGCTGCGCTCGCGGCCTCGCCGCGGTCGGAAGCGCTGCCCCGGGACGCCTGGGCTTTGCGGGGGCTGTTGCCAGCGGGAGTCGCCCAGACGGGGGTTCTGGCGATGCCGCCGCTCCTGCAGCCCTCGCAGAGGCCGCTGGGCGCGACGACCCGCAGCTACCGGCCCAAGCTGCGCTTCTCCCAGGAGCGCCCCGCCGCACGGTATGGAGCGACGGGGCATGCCTCCCTGTTGACCCGCTGCTGGCGCGAGCGGCCTGGGGCCTTCGGGTCGAGGGGCTGGCAGCCCCCAACCTCGCCGGGCCGGTCGACCGGCTGCAGACGGCGCAGAGGGCCGAGGTGACAGTTGCGGTGGCGGCGGCTCGCGTAGTGGGCGGCCCGATCGACCTCGCCTCGGACAGCAAGTACGTGGTGCAGGGGTGCGCCAAGATCGAGGCTGGCGCAGACCCGCGGGATTGGGAGCACGCAGACCTGTGGCATTCGCTGGTGGATGCCGTGCGCAGCGGACGGCTCCGGGCCCGCTGAGTGCCAGCTCACAAGACGCCATCGGAGGCGCGCCGCCTGGGGCTGAACGAGCGGGACCGCCTCGGCAACGCGGCGGCCGACGGCAATGCTGGCGCGGCATCTGCCAGCAGGGCGCCGCCGCCAGACGTGGTGCGCGCCCGCCGCCGGGAGCTGGTGCTGCTGGAGGCCGCGCAGCGCGTCATGGCTGCCGCGCAGCAGGCCGCCCTCGCGGCGGCGCCGCCAGCCGCGCGCCGCCGCCAGCGCGACTGGCGCGAGGTCCGCCGCGGCGCCCGGGCCCGCGCGGCGTCCGCCCCGGCGGCCGACGCCGCCATTGACCGGGCGACGCCTGCGCCGACCTGCCCGCGCCAGAGCGGCGCTGATGCGCCCGTCAGCAGGGGGGACATGCTGGCCGCGTTTTTCGCCGGGCGCTCTTGGTGGCCCCACACCCTCGCGCGCGGGCCCGGCCACGTCTTCTTCCTCTGCTGTGGCGACAGCGCGGCGTCGGCAGCAGGCCGGCTGGGGAGCGCGTGCCCAGGCTGGCGGGAGCGTCTGCCGGCGCGGTGCCAGGCGGCGCTGCTCCTTGGCGAATTGCCCTGCGTGGGTGGCAGCGCGGAGGCGTTTGCATGCTTGGCTGCGCGACGCATTGCGCAGCTCCCAAAGGTCCCTGACTGAGCCTCTGGGTGGGGTCGAGCGCCCGCGGCTGTGCGCGCGCTCACGTCCGCACGTCAAAAAAGCCTTCTGCTCCCCCCATCCGTTCCGCATTTGGTGCGAAGACGGAGGAGAAGCACCCAGGAGGACGGGGAGGACTAGCACCCAGGAGGAGAGAGAAGGAGGGAAGCAGGAGGACGGGAAGCATACGAAGGGGAGGAGGAGGAGAAGGATGATACAGTGCAGACTGTGATTTTGCGGGGGGGCTGCCTGCATTACCCAGCCTAGTTTGTGGTCGGCGGGTTCTCTCTATTTGTTTACTATCCTCCTCCTCCTCCTCTTCCTCCTCCTCCTCCTCTGCCTCCTCCTCCCCATCCTCATCATCATCCTCATCCTTATTATGATCCTCTTCCTTGTCCATGGCCGCGTTTGGCGACCGCCTGGCGCACTTCGGCCTTTTGCCAGTTTCACACGTCGTGTTCCTTCACTTTGGCATGTTCTGTCACTTTTTGCTTCCCCGCCCAATCAGTTGGGACGCTGGTGGATTTGTCTTATCATTGGATTATGATCCGGCTGGAGAGAGGTATTCGTGCATACTGTGGATGAGGAACAGGATGAGCAGGTGACGGATGAAGCAGCAGAAGGAGCACGTGAAGGAGGCGAAAGAGAAAGAGGAGGAAGAGGAGGAGGAGGAGGAGGAGGAAAACAACGACGATGTCGGATGTCGAGGAGGAGGAGGATGAGGAAGAGGAGGAGGAGGAAGGTGATGAGGATGATCAGCAGCAGCAGCAGCAGCAGCAACAGCATCGAAGGGGCACAGGGGGTGTGGGCCTGGGGGCGGGAGAAGCCCTCGCAGGAGCGGCAGGGAGGGAGCAGGAGCGCGACGAGGCAGAGGAGGAGCACGCGTGCTCGCAGCGGGGGGGGGGACTCTGGCGCGCGCCGAGGCGATCCTGGCGTGGATGTACGGCCGCAAGGCCGAGGCCCGGCGCCCGACCGCCCGCGCCGGTGGGTCCGACGCGCGGCCGTCCGTCCTGGGCTGTGGAAGTCGACCAGTGGAGGGGAAGCGTGCTGCCAGATAATTTCCAGCTGTCTAAGAGACGTCTCAAGCATGTTTCCAATATGTTAGTCACATGTCTGAAACGTTTTTGGAACATATTTTACACATGTTTAACACATCTTCAACTCAACGATCGGATTGCTTAAGCGGGAGAGGAAGCGTGCTGCCACATAACTTCCAGATGTCTAAGAGATTATTCTCGGGGGCGGAAAAGAGGGGTGTGTGATGACTAGGGGCGGGTGGATATCATGGCGGGGGGCCATGGTGTTTCCCCAGATTTTATGGCGCCGCTTCTTATTTCATGAGGTCCCTGGCCCCCCGCTGGGCCGCGCACATGCCGCCGGTCATGATCTGCCCCCCCCCTCTTGGACACCCCCCTCTTGGCCGCTCCCGAGTCTCAAACATGTTCAAAATGTGTTAAAAGCACGTCTGGAACATGTTTAGAACATGTTTTACACATGTTAAACCTACCTTCAGTTCAGTGATAGGATTGTTGGAGTGTCCATTGTCATGGCTCCCACAAGTCTTGGGGAGTGCGCCTCGGCCACCCGGGCAACCGCCGCCTCGGGCGCGGTGGGTTCGCCGCGGTGCCGGCCTCGTCTGACCTGCGCGCGGGTCGCTGGGCCTGCCGCGGGTACCCCGCCGTGCTGTCGGCGTCGTCCACTGGGGCGCGTGGAGAGCAAGCGGCGCTGCGACACGTCGACACCTCCCCCCCCCCTCGGCGTACCCAGTGCACACCAGGGGGGGGGGAGGTCGTCGCACCATTTCTGACCCTCTCGGGGCCCCCCCGGGGCCGGCCCTCCAGACCCTCCGGCCTGGGAGGACTTCCTGGGTTCCGCCGGGCCCCCCGCGCCTCCTCAACCCTCCCACACCTCTCCCTGCCACGCCAGACACAGCGTGCCGGTCCCCCTTGACGAGAATTCTCGTCGGTCCGCGCCGATTTCTTGGATCGGCGCTGGACCCCCTGGCGGCTCCACTGGTGCCGCTCTTGCGCGGCTCCGGCGCGCTCCGCGCGCCAGGGGAGGGGTCCAGCTCAGATTCAGACATTCTGTGCGGGCCTCCAGTTCGAATGCGTAGCCCCCCGCAGATGCGGATGAGAGTGAGGGGGCGGTGGGGACGTCGGCAGTTTGCGAGACTCTGGAGAAGCCCGCCGCTGGTGCCAAAGTAACACAACTTATACAACGAGCCCGCCGCAGGCGGCGATTTTGTCGTTAAACCAATGTGGGTAGGTCGCGGGTGGTCGCGGGTGGGTCGTTGTTGGCTCGCGGGTGGGTCGCAGGTGTAGAGGGCAGAAAATCCACCCCGTAATAATCACCCCGACAAGCGAAGCCGTTTCGTAAACGCATGCAAGGAATGAATCGAGCAGGGCAGGGCTGTTTAGTAAACGCCCAGGGCCGTGTCAAGTGTCGAGTCCGGGTGGTTTTTCCTCTCTTGAGGATGGGTCGCGGGGTGGGTCGCGGGTGGATCGCGGAGTGGGTCGCGGGTGGGTCGCGGATGGGTCGCGGATGGGTCTCGGGGTGGGTCGCGGGGTGGATCGCGGGTGGATCGCGGGTGGTTCGCGGGGTGGGTCGCGGGGTGGGTCGCGGGGTGGGTCGCGGGGTGGGTCGCGGGGTGGGCCGCGGGTGGGTCGCGGGGTGGGTCGCCGGGTGGGTCGCGGAATGGGTCGCGGGGTGGGTCGCGGGTGGGTCGCGGGTGAAACGACGACAACAACAACAAGAACAACAACGACAACAACGCAACAATCAGAATTCTCACCATGAGTTTTCCATTCAGCCACGCACCCAGGGACAATGAATGAGCGTTTGGCCCCCTCACTCTGACTTGTGCAGTCTATTATTCTTCTAGTCTTCGACTTCGTTGTCAAGATGGTTGTTTCCCAAGCTTTCAGGGCGTTTCTCGGGATCTCGTTTCCACGGCCAGACGTGACCTGGAAAACCAGCCAGTATAGGCCCCAGGAGGGGTCCAAGGACCAGCTTGTGCCCTCACCGTCCCCATCCCATGCCGCCCCCGTTACGGTCGGTTCGCGTCGTGTCGACAAGCGACAACCCCGCCGCCGGCGTTCAACACTGAACGCCGCTGGCGACCCAGAGTCGGTCGATGTCGAACGAGCTGAAGTTCCGGAAGCAGCCGATCGGTCAAGGCTGAACGATCCCTGCGGTGTCAGAAGCCAGTGCCGATGTCGGCGCACGACAGGAACCGCCCGTGCACACTTCCTCCTCCTGCTCGTCGTGCGCGTTCTCCTCCATGTCCTCGTCCGTTCTTCCCCTCCCCTCTTCCCCGGGGTCTTGCTCCTCTGCTCTCCTCTCCCTCTCCTTGTGACGACCCGCAGGCTGCTGCAAGCTGCGCTGCCGATGGCCGCCGATTCTCCAGTCTCTCGTTTCCCCCCTGCAGGCTTGGCCCACGTGTCGATCGATTGCGCTTGCAACAGGTTCCCTCGTTCGGAATGATTCGTAGTGTTGTCGATCTCTGTGTTTCTATCTGCACGCATACACACAACTATCCGAATCCATGCATGCACACATCTGTGTACAGGCACTATACATACACATCTACATGTATGTGCGAACACGTGTGTGATTGCAACTCGTTGCATGCATAACCAGCTGGGTCCCGTCTTCAATTCGATGTGATCCATTACGATGCCGGGAAAGGGGGGGCGATTGCGTCGGTATCAGGTACATGTGAGGCGGGATGAGGTTGAGGAGCAGGAGGTTCCTTGTTCCTTCTGGTCCACGCCTCCGCCCTCGTCCTGCCCTGAATGCGACCTTCAAATTCAAGACGTGGCCAGGCCCAGTCCTGCCGCATCCGCCCCCCCCCCCCCCCCCCGAAGTCGAGCGCAATCGGCCGACGCTGAGTGCCTTAGGCTCTGCGACGGAAGATGGTCTGGTCGGGAACGTTGGCTCAGCGTGCTGTCCATTCTGGCCCACCGCGCCTCAGCGTGTGTGTGTGTGTGTATCTGCAGATCTGCGTGTCTGTGTGTCTGTGTGTCTGTGTGCCTGTGTGTCTGGGCGTCTGTGCGTCTGTGTGTCTGTGTGTCTGTGCGTCTGCGTCTCTGTGTGTTTGTCTGTCTGTGTGTCCGTGTGTCTGTGTGTTTGTCTGTCTGTGTGTCTGTGTGTCTGGGTGTCTCTGTGTCCGAATGTCTGTGTGTCTGTGCGTCCGTGCGTCTGCGACGCGGGAACCACTTCCCAGCCCCCGAGCATGAACGGTCCGAGCCTTTCCGAGCCTCCCGCCCCGCGAAGCGGAGCGGCGCGCTGCCAGCCCTGCAGGGCATGACGTCTCGCCGGGGCCGCCGCCGCGACGCGCTGCGCAAGAGTCCCTGGTCGTAGCAGCAGGAAGGTAAGTCGACTAGACGTAAGTCAGAGTGACCCCTCGCCAGAGTGACCTCTGGTTCGGGCACATCGGGGTCCCAAGATCGCCGGGCGCGATCCGATAGTAGCGCCTTGCGCGCCTGTGTTTGGTCACCCCGCGGCCCCCAAAAAGCCGCGCACCAAAGGTCACTCTTACCCAGGGCCACTCTGTAGCCGAGGTGAGGCCCACACGAAGCATTTCCGCTTGGCAGCGAGTCGGCAGCAGCGGCAGCGGCAGCATCGGCATCGGCAGCCCCAGACATCCGACGCCTTGCTTTGTTCCACGCGGCGCCCCCCAGGATGCCCGAACCCTTCCCCAGGGCCAGCTTCGCACAGGAGGAGGAGGAGGAGGAGGAGGAGGAGGAGGAGGAGGAGGGGGAGGAGGAGGAGGAGGAGGAGGAGGAGGAGGAGGAGGAGGAGGAGGAGGAGGAGGAGGAAGAGGACGAGCGAGCCGCTGTTTCGTAGTCACGGGGACCGGCGAGGGCCCCAAGAGGCGAGGGCGGGGCCCCCAAGAGGTCCGTCGTGATGTCTTGAATTGACGCGAGCACGCCGAGGAAGGCAGCAGGCGGCCGCAGCGGGTGCACGGCGGCCGCCGGACACCGAGGTGCGCATCGACGACTCGAACGAGGCGCTGTCGCTGCTGGAGCTGGCGAAGCGGTGGCAGGTGGACGAGCTGTGCGAGCAGCTGTCCTCGTGCGAGGCGTGCACGCTGTCGGAGGACAACGTGCTCGGCATCTGGGAGACGGCCCAGAGGCCTCCTCCTGCTCCTCCCCCTCCTCCTCATCCGCCTCCGCCTCCGCCTCCTCCTCCTCCTCCTCCTCCTCCTCCTCCCTCTCCTCCTCCTCCTCCTCCTCCTTCTCCTCCTCCCTCTCCTCCTCCTCCTCCTCCTCCTCCTCCTCCTCCTCCTCCTCCTCCTCCTCCTCCTCCTCCTCCTCCTCCTCCTCCTCCTCCTCCTCCTCCTCCTCCTCCTCCCCTCCCCCTCCTGCTCCTCCTCCTCCTCCTCCTCCTCCTCCTCCTCCTCCTCCTCCTCCTCCTCCTCCTCCTCCTCCTCCTCCTCCTCTCCTCCTCCTCCTCCTCCTCCTCCTCCTCTTCCTCCTCCTCCTCAGCTTGTCGAAGTCCGGTTTCGGGCCCCGGCGTTTTCGTCTGGGCGTTGTTGTCCGGCTTCGGGCCCTTAGAGACCATCACTGATCGATCCGGCTCCAGCAATGTCGCAGTAAGATGCGGCCTAGGGCCCAGTCGTGATTTTGTCGCGATGCTGTAGATTGTTCGGACTTTCGGATCTCATAGTCGAGGTTCTCGCCCCTTCCTCATTCCTCCTCCTCTTCCTGATGCTCGCGGTCTCACCAGAGCTTCGAGAACCCGCTGCTGCGTCGCACCACGGTCGGAATTGTTGGTCCAGGGGCGTGCCCACGAAGGAGAAGTCAGAAGAGGTCTGGCCTAGCCCTGGGGGGACGCAGAGGTGAGAGGGGGGCCCTGAACCCCACCCGTCACCTGGAGGACCCAAGCAGATGAAACGGGCACCCTGCGCAGACTGAGGCTCCACCAGTCAACAAACACGAAGAGCACGACGAGGACCGCTTCCACCTGCCGCTCCAGAGCCGGGCGCCTGCGCCAGTTCCCCGAGCGGGCCCGCGTCTTCGGCGGCGAGGTGCACCCCCGCGCACGTCGGCCGTGCCCCGCCAGGGCACGCACACTGCCGTCCTCTGCCACGGCGTCGCCACGCAGCGCCCCGCGGCATGCAGCACGAAGCCGAGCGCGGTCGACGTCACGCAGGCACGAAGGGGCCCAAGGCGGTAGCCAGAGGCTCGGCCACGAGGCCAACGGGTCGGCTCGCTCGTCCTTCGGGTCGGTGTCGGAGGGGCCGCCCAGCACCGCTGGCGCTGCGGCGACTTTGCTTGTGTGTAATATGTATGTGTGTATGTATGAATGAATGAATGAATGAATGAATGTATGTATGTGTCTATGTATGTATGCATGCATGTATGTATGTTTGTATGTATGTATTCCATAGGTATGGATGCATGGATGTATGTAGGTATGTATGTATGTTTGTATGTAGGTATGTATGTATGCATGCATGTATGTAAGTATGTGTTTACATGTATGTATGTATGTATGTATATATGTATGTATGTATATGTATGTATGTATGTAGGTAGGTAGGTAGGTAGGTAGGTAGGTATGTATAAATGTATGTATGTATGTAGGTATGTGTATGTATGTATGTACGTGTGTATGTATGTATGTATGTATGTATGTTTGTTTGTTTGTGTGCATGTATGTGTGTATGTGTGTATGAGTTGGTGCTTGTATGTGTTATTGTTTGTATGTGTGTATGCATGTAAATCTGTATGGATGGATGTGCGTACGTGTGTATACATATGTAGATGTAGGTGGACTCGGGCCGCCGAATACACACATCTATTGAATTTGTATAGATACATATGTAGGTGTATACACATATATATATACATACATATATACACATATCTATTTGTACATGAACACACACAAACGTATATATATATATATATATATATATATATATATATATATGGGTGGCCTCGGGCCGCCCCGGCCCGTGTCCGTGTCTTCGCCGTGCGTCGCGCTGCCCTGCGCGGCGCGCTCCGCCCGGCTCTCCATGGCCTCCGCGCTCGGTGTCACCGCCGTCGTCAGCTCCGGCGAGCCCACCTCGCCCGCGAAGGCGCAGCGCCGCCGCCGCCGCGGCGGCGGCCGAGGCCGCCGCCGCGGGAGGCAAGGACGGAGGCGACCTGCAGCCAGGCTAGGGCGCATGCGGCCTCGCGGCACGCCTCGCGGCGGCCGACAGCCCAGCAGTAGCGCGCACCTCGGAAGACCGCCCCTCGGGCAGCAGCGAGCGGCGCGGCCACGCGGGCGTCCTGCGTCGGCGGCATCGGCGGCGTCGCGGGGTGCGGAAGGTGCGACCCAGCAAGGCGACGCTTGGGCCCCGTCGCATCGAGTATGTCATTGGACCCGACAACATCCTGGAAAGTGTGAAGTACGCGATATTGAGTTGGAATATCCATAGCCGAGTACGAAAACTGTTCCATGCAACCGGCCATATCCCGATGATTCAGCAGCAAAGTTCCCATATGCGACTCATGATTAATTTCTGGCAATATTCGATAGGTATTTGGCCTCCTTGCGGCAGGTTTGCAGACGGGTAAAAATCAAGAGTCTTTCGTCACCGACGTTGCGCAGAGCATTGCGAAATATGAGGATGGCCTTCAGAGTAATTTAGATGGATCAGTTCCCGATACGACACCATGCATTACTCGCACACATCATCAGGGAATCTCGCAACAAGTGTTTTCCTTTGGAAGCCAGCCGTCCCCACTGGCACAGGCAAGCATGACTTGACCGACTAGAGTTGCAAAACAAACGAGCTCAGTATCGTGCGCAGCGTCTTCCGTTCAATTGCACTGCGCTGCGATACATACCGCGACAACTTCGAGCACACCAAAGATGGATGCATCACTGGTAAAACGAGTAACGAGAGTTTGGATCAAGATATGCGCGATTGATGGGCACCCCGAGACCTCTCGCGAGTTGCACACCCCACCTATGTACGAGTGGGCCGCCGCACGGGCCCGAGACGCAGGTCGCATCCGGCATTGCCCTGGACGCGCCCGACAGCTCTCAGGAGTGCACACACGGCCCTCCTTCGAGGCTGCCACACATCGGGAGGCGCGGCGGCCTCGCCCCTGCGCACGTCAGCCTCTACACCGACGACCCGACAGCTGTCGCGAGGATGCTGGACCGCATCGCCGACCTGACACCCGTCGGCGAGATCACGGGGGCCCCTGGCACAGCAGACCCGGAGGCAGCAGGAGCTCGAGCGCATGCAGAAGCGCAGTTGGGGAGAGAGCCGCTGGAAGTGCAACCCGCCATGGGCCTGGCCTCTCGAGATCACGGCCGTGCTCTTGAGCCCACAATACCTTGCGAGGCCAGGCCGTCAGCAGACTGGGCGGGGGACCGCCGACGCCGCGCACCAATCTGCGGATCCTCTTGCCAAGCGCCTGCGCCAGCCTCGCAAACGCAATAGGAAGTTGGATCAGCCCCACTGCTGCCTCGTCGCCCAGACCTTCATCAAGCTGATGGCCGAAGGGAAGAAGCCCGACAGGCAACGCTATCGCGGACGTTCACTCATCCCTTCGGCTGTCACAGTGTGATGATCAAGTTTGGCGGCTGCATCTCCGTGCCGGCCTCGTCCAGCACGGGGCGCCGTATTCATCGCCATCGTGGGCGTGTGGAGGTATATATTCCCGTCGGCGTGAGTCCTTGATGAGTCCCCGATGTTGGTGGCCAAGTTGATGGCATCGAAAATGGGAGATGCTCATGTTGCGTTTTCTTTTTTGTTTCATATATTTTTCAAAGAAAATGACACGCGCAGCGCTTTCGCGACGGGCTGCCGCCAGAAGCTCACTGCTGCACGCGCTGTCCGATGCGATGGCGAACAGTTGCATCCCCTCCTCGAGCAGCGTCGTGCCAATGTTGCAGTGCGCCTTCGGGCTCCTGGCGCCGGCCTCGCCCCTCGGCCCGGAACGGGATGGGGCGGGTGGGTCGGGGGATCCTAACGCGCCCGAGTTCTTCGCAGTCTCTCTCTTCGCCCCTCGCTTTCAAAATGGCGCTCAGACATGGCCGAAGCACATGGATGCCCGCTTCTAAGAAGCGTGCCCGTGCACGGCCGAGCCGCGCGACGCGCGCCTCGGCGCGTGCCTACGCGACCGATGTCAGCTGATCTCGGCCCCCGACGGCTCGGCCCCCCGGGCCCTCGAGCTCGATGCGATCGACAGCAGCTTGCTCTCCTGGGCCCTGGGCGCCGGCGTCTGCGCCCAGAGCGTCGGCGCGCAGGGCGCATCGGCCACTCCCTGGGAACCCGCGGGGCCACGCAAGGGGCAGAGCATGACGTGCGTGGGAAAAAAGCGGTTCAGGATCGGATGCACCTTGGGGGCATGCACACGCGGCTAACAGCAGGCGTCGTGGGACGTCAGTTCGGGCTCAGCTTGGGGGAGTGGGGGGGCTCGTCTTGGCGAATAGTGGTTCTCGGGAGGCCTCTGGAAGGCCGAGCGTCTGCCGTTCCTCTCCAGCGTCGCGGGGCGCACCTGGCCAGGGCTAGAGTGCTATGCGCTTAGTCCTCGGAATCTTCGCCGACCGAACGGCACCAATGGCACGAGCAGTGATGGGCGGGGGGGTCGCGCGTCGAGTTGACTAGCAGAACTTCCATCGCTCCCGCACTACCCCTCAGGCGCTTAAAGAGTGGCATACTGCTCCTTCGGCAACAGAACTACTCGCGCGCAGGCTGAGCCGGTGGCATAGCACCCTCCGCACGCCAAACCACCGCGGCCACTCTCTCGCAGCAGCAGTTCGGAGCAGTTCGAGCGCAGTTCCGAGCAGCGGGCGCGCATCAGCGAACGCCCAGTCAGCGCGGCGACCCTCAGCCCGCAGAGCGCCCTCTCGCCTGGCTCGATCCTCCACCCGCGTGCTAAGCAGCTCGCGGCGGATCTTTCGCGCCTGGCCTCGCGCCCCGTCGGCGGGAACTTCCGGGAGACATGGCAGCCGCCCGTCGTGAAGCACCTGTGGACGGACGAATGCGTGCGAGACGCCTTCCTGCATTGTGATGCGCGCGCCCTGCGGTCCCCCTGTTTGGATGTCTCAGTGGGCCCCGTCCAGGAACCAGCGCGCTCGCCGGCCCCCCCCCCTCATCCGAATCCTCCGACGTGGCCGATGGCGAC